TGGTTGGTTTTTCAGCAAGTTGTTATCTTCTTTGAAAGATGGGCAGATCTATAAATGGCTAGGATCTCTGTGTGTTCACTTGTTTTATTATTGGTCCCTATCTTCAACTAGATTATCTCCTTTCCTCACACCCATGAAATTCATCTCCACATGCATGTGCGTACGCCCCCCTCCAACCCTCTCTCTCTCTGGACACACACACACACACACACACACATTGATAGTGCAAATAACAGATTTTTTTTTTAATTTCTCACAAAGTTTTCATAAGTTTGGATAAAAAAAATACTTTCAATTAGATCCCAACAAATTAATTTAAACAACCGCTTTAGTTTCCTTGCAAAAAAATACAGTAGGTTTTAGAAACCGCTGAAGTGAAAAATTTAAATCAATTTCACTTTTTCTAACATTAGATAATTTGCAATAGTGTGCTTAAATATGAATCTATTTTCTGATTCTGCATGAAATTTATTTGGCCTTGAAAAATATTTTATCATCCGTTTTTGATTCAGTTTTCCATGTTATGAGACACTATTGATCAGACTGTCGATTATTTTGTCCTACGGCCATTTTTGTAATGGATTTTGTTTCCAATAAGCGTGAAAAAAATGGTAAGGCTGAAGTTAACACACTGGGAAACATTACCAGTGAGCAAATCAAAAAAACTTGACTGGCACGGAAACTCTTTTGATTGAAATCCAATCGAGAATCAGTGGTCAATCTGCAAGGAACGGCATCCTAGAATGGACATACGAAGTACTAACATGTGAACTGGGTCATGTTTCATTGGAAGATTATATAAAAAAACGTAAACAACGGAATTATTCGTTTTAATTCATTTGCGCAAAGGTCTAGCTCTCCTTTTCTTTCTGTCTCCCATATAGTAGCATCTAGATTGGATAACATTTACTCATTGATTAACCAGCACTTGACCTTTTGAGGTGACGATTATACGATAACATATATGAAAATATACTGAAAATATAGGTAAAAGATTAATGCTTGTTTTCTTTGAACAGCGACAGAAATTGCCGGTTTCCTCTCTGATGACTCGCAAATACAGGACGAAACGGCCGTCTATTTCTTTCTGTATTCTATTGAAATTTTCAGATTCGATCTTTTTTTATCTCGTATACCAGAATTTAATTCTTTAAAAGATCCTTCATTTCATGATGACAATCTATTGATTCTAAATTTACCGCCAACGTGGACGTTCAGGGCTAGAAGCTTCTAGTTTCACCAAAACCTGCTCTCTTCATTCATTGCCATTTTTTTAATTTTAAGTTTTGCAGTTCAAAAATTTACCTTTAGATAAAAAATAAAATGCCGATATATTTATTTTGTTTTAAATAGACCTCAGCTTGTCAAAATATTTATTTTTGTTTCTAATAATGTCAGGACCTTTATTTTTTTATAATGGAATGCATTTTTCAGTTCCATGTTCTTTAATTGCAACCGTTTGTCATTTGACTCTTTTGAAATTTCGAGTGGTTTTTTCTGTATCATGTCCATAATACGTAGCCCTCTTCATCCGTTGGTTTAACCATTGAGATCTGTTGTAATCTTTATCCGCTTGTTCCACCCTTTAGGACTTTGTGGTTGGTTTTTTTTATCTGTGTTTCAATAACCGGAAAGGGAAACTTAATTATAACATGAGTTTAGAACTCTTAATGCCATTGTTCTAAGAGTTTAGTGGGAAAATCCCCTCAAAACTATTAAAAATCATTAAAGGTAAAAATGTGTTTTAATAAAACAGAAATTAAAATTGCATGCATGAGGGCCATGATACATTCTTCTTGCAGGAAGAAATTTTGACTGTCAAGTTCAAAATTTCATTGTCTGAGGTACCTCATTTTTTAGCAAATATAATCACGAATAAGTAATTACGGTGCGAAAATCTTAAAACATATGTTATTGCTTTTAATTGAGGATTAATTATTTTGTTTTACAGACGTTTTATTATTATTAAACACATTAGAAAATTATTTTAACATTATTATAAAAAAGTGCATAAAATTCTGCGCAACATGAAGGTAAGATTATAATTTTCCAAACAGCGAAGGACTTTCAAACTTTGCAGCCTCATGCAATCTTTCATTTCAACAGGCGAAAGACAACAGCCGGCATCATGAATTATTGCTACAGGAAATTGTGCGTCCGCCATTTTGTCGACGATTCACCGTGATTCTGTATTCGTAATTAGTTTTCGAAATTATTCAGTCGTCATTGCCGATGCGTTGACAGGCTTCGTTATCTTTGGGCGGAAAACGAAATTCTATCCAATTAAAATTTTTATAAATTTCATCTATGAAATATGTAAAAGGAATATAAATACTCAATATTTCAGAACGTGCGCAGTTAAATATAGACAATTGTTGCATTCCGTATGTTCTCTGAACTCAGCTCTTCGGATTCTCGACGCTATATCATTGACTGCATTTTCAAGTCAGTTTTCTTTTTCTTCTCTCGCTTTAATATACGAGCGACCATAAACGATAGCATCGTTTCTCGATAGATGGAATTCTTGGCTTAGTAATTTACCACGTTTTGGTTAGCCTGACTAAGAAATCCGGGCATGAGAAGCGCGTCAATTTTTTTGCGGCCATCTCCCTGTTAACCGACGTTTGGTTCTTATATCCCCAAAAATTAAGAAAACACAATTGTTTTATTAATATCAGAACTCAATTTGAAAACTTCAGATTAAGAGGCATGAAGCAATTCTAGGCCAATCTTCGTGTTCCCTAACAAAATGGCAATTATCAAATGTAAATAGGTTGTTTGTTAGCATGTGTGATCGGTGCCGAAATATAAATATGGGATTTTACAACGCATAATAAATTATCTTGCTAAAAAATAGACCATCTTATTCCATTCAAAAAAACAATTTTAAATAACAAGGTAGTGGAATCTTTTGACAAAAAATGCAGAAGAAAGAACATTTCTATTTTAAATTGATGAATGTTAAGAAAAAAAATAATATATATATATATATATATATATATGTATATATATATATATATATATATATATATATAATTCGTAGAGTAGAAAATATCGTTTTAAATTGATTGATGGTCGTACAGTCAACGAGTATAAGTAATTTACATAATTATTTTATCGAAAATAATTCTAGACTATTTATTCAGTAGAATATTTGTGATAATTCCAGCAAAGAACATCACGTGGTATATAGAGTGTCACCATTGTTATTCTTATATAGTTTTAACAACACAATGGGGAAGACAAAAGGAGCTTAGCGTTGATTTGAGACAGAGAATTATTAACTTCCACAAGTCGGGAAATAGTTACAGCTCTATTTCAAACCGGTTAGCTACCCCGAGATCTACGGTACAGTCCGTTATAAAGAAGTTTAAACAGTTTGGCACGACAGAGAATTTGCCTGGGCGTGGAAGAAAACCCAAATTGTCACCGAGAACTGCACGAAAACTGTGTCGCGAGGTTAATATAAACCCAAGAGTTGTTTTGAAAGACATCGCCAAAAGTTTGGATACGATGGGTATCAGCGTAAGTACATTCGCACAATACAACGTTGTTTAAATAGAAATGGGTTGTATAGAAACCGACCACGACGAACCCTCTTCACAAACCATGTCACATTGTTGCTTGGTTTAATTTTGCCAAAACGTTCTTGGACAAAGAAAATTGCTTTTGGGAACAAGTACTATGGAGTGATGAAACAAAAATTGAGTTTTTTTGGACATAATGATGTACAGAAGATTTGGCGCAAGAAAGGTGAGGCTTTCCTCCCAAAGAACACAGTGGCAACATTAAAACATGGAGGCGGCTCGATGATGTTTTGGGGTTGTTTTAGCTCAAGGGGGACTGGACAATTAATTGCAATAAGAGGAATAATGAAATCTGCAGACTATATCAAAATTCTGGATGAAAATCTACAACTATCAGCGCAAAATCTTCATCTAGGTCGGCGATTATTTTCCAGCAAGATAATGATCCCAAACATACGTCTAAATCAGTGACTGCGTGGCTTCAGAAAAAGAAGATTACAGTTCTGCCATGGCCTTCAATGAGTCCTGACTTGAATCCTATTGAAAATCTATGGCAAGAATTGAAAGTTCGAATAAATCGTCGGTCACAAAAAACCTTCAGGAATTAGAACGTGTAACCATTGAAGAATGGAAGAAAATCCCAGAAAAGACTTGTTCAAATCTCATCAAAAACTTTAGAAAACGATTGCAGCAAGTTATAAAGATGAGAGGCCATGCTATTGACTATTAATATTGTGAAAATTGTTCAATTTTTTTCTATTTTTCATACTGTACGAATAATTTTGTTTTTTCCTATTTTGCATAATTCGCCTGTCAAATTTGTTGTATTTAACCTATTGTTCTGAAAATTGAGTTTTATATTCCTTTTTTGTTCTTATTAACATATAAAAAACCTGGCATCATACGGGCATTAGATTCTGAGAAATGGATAAAAATATTCAAAATTGATGGGTGTACGAATAATTCTGAGGAAAGAATGAATCCATATGTTATCTTCGCTCGCTAAAGGAAGGACGAAATATTGATGTTAAAGCAGTTTAGATATTTATAAACGGTTTTTTAATTCATTGACATCCATAGAAGGTTTCCATCTGACGAATCAATTTAAAAAACATTTCCTATAGATATTTTTCAAATCCATAGATGTACGGATATTACAGAAAAGCAATGATAGAAAGCCATATCCTAATCTGAAAAAATATGAAAGGATATATTTGGATTTTTATCATATTAAATTATTTGGATGTTCATTTTTGCGGAATGTGTGGATGGGTTATTCATCTTGTTGAAATGGAATGGTTTCTGTCATAAAGATAGATTTTTTTTAGCGATAGATGTAGCGCCGGATTATTAGGTTGGAAGAAGTTTGATATATAGAGAAAGAAAGATTGGCTTATATATCATTCAAAAATTCAGATAAATATGAACAGATAATAGATAGATAGATATATAGATAGATAGATAGTTTAGAACTCAGAAAGGATAGATAGAAAGAATATGAAAGTCTCCATATAACCAGTCTTAAAATTCATATAATATGAACAGGTTGATAGATAGATAGATAGATAGATAGATTTATTTGATAGATTTCTGCTTGCTAAATGATTTCTCCATTTGTCTGAAAGAAGATTCACTATTTAAATTTCTCTTTCTTAATATATAATAATTTCGTCTATTTTTCAGAAATAGATTAATATATATATATATATATATCTGCTATATGTATATATATATATATATATTGGAATATATTAAACTTATTGGATATATTTATATATATATATATATATATATGCAACATCCACAAACGTTGTTTCGCGTTATCTTAACACAAGATTCTCTCACTCGTTTCTGTCACACACACATAAATAGACAAGTATATATGTTATTCTGATTTGTGTTTTCCGGAATATTAACAATAAATGTCCTTTTTTCATATTTTTAGCATTTTTTTTTTTATAAAAACAAAGCTTAAGTAGATTCTAATTCCTATCTTCTACTTTTTTTATGTTTAAATTTTTGGTTATCATTCCTGAAAATAATTGATCCATAATTTTCCGTCTTTTTTTAATATATATATATACTTTTGCGTTATAATTTATATATATATTAATAAGATTTATTTGAAAATATAAAACCAGATATTTAAAATATCGAAACAGTGAGATAAAATATATTTATATATATATATATATATATATATATATATATATATATATATATATATATATATATATATATATATATATATATATAAATATAATTATCCAATTATTAGATTAAATATTGAACCGTTTATCTTAGAAATATATAAATATATGTTATATGGAATATTATATATATTTTATAAAATATATATATCTATACTTTGAGCAATAAGAATATATAATATATCATTAAAAATATCAACAGAAAAATCAATTTTGAAAGGAAAATAAACGAAAATGGCAATATTCATCATTAATAAACCATAAGCTTTGGATGTTGAAGACCATGCCGATGAATGAAATTCAAAATATATATATATATATATATATATATATATATATATTCAGGATTTTTTTCAATTTATTCAAGAAATTCTTCGCCCTCTCTAAAGATTCTGATTTTTTGTCCTTGAAGTTTATGTTTGCGATTGTATAGGTTCAAGTCATTTTCATTCGATTTTGACTGTTATAGCTGAAACTATTTCTCAATGACGGACGTCTTTTGGATTGAATGTTTTTTTATAATTGAAAAAGAAAGCTCTAAGTTGAAATGATGACAGTTTCTTTCCCTGTTTTGACATCCTGAAAGCATGCCATCTCATATAGTGTTCCGTCTTTTTAAATCTTATTCACCATTTATTTTTTTTTTTTTTTTTTTTTTCAGGTTTGTATCGTTTTGAAGATGGCAGCCAAGGCAAAATGTTTGTTTACCCAGGATGATCTATTGATATATATCTTTCCTCCCTCCATTGCTCATTTTGGAATTAAAATACGGAGGGGCTGATACAAAAAATTTGACCTGTTCTCTTTCTTAATAATTTTTAAAAAAAATTTTTTTCAACATTCTTATTCTAAATGGTGTCAAGAATTTCAAACGTCTTTCTGAAAACATGGGAAAAGAAAACTATTAATTTATGTGTTTTAGATATTAAAATCACATTTTTGGATAAACAATTTTTTTTATGTTATTGATAAAATATATTAATAAATTAACATATTTTTAACACAACCAAATATATTTTTCAAAAATTTAAATTAGCTAATTCCCAGTCTTAATTGTATTGAAATTAAACATTGTGCATAAAACACAACCATTTACTGTTTTCTAAAATATAGTTTATAGCCTTTATTATATTCCAGAAGATATAAAGGAGAATTATATATGAATATTAATATATATATATATATATATATATTGATATTTATATATATATATATATATTTCAAATTTAATCTCAGAATCGGTTTCATTCGTATGAGGATCTGACAAATTTAACCAATTTGAAAATTTTACATCATTTTTTTTTCGATAATCTTTGCTAAATTATTTAAATAATTACTATTTATTTAAAAATGAATAATAATATGGAGCATTACTAAATAATGGGATCAAAATGTTAGATTTTCTTGACAAATTTTAGATATTCCCCGCTTCTTGAAGAAAATTCAGATTCTCATGACTGAAAAACTATTCCTTAAATTACGTTGATCATCATTCATCATATAAAGCTAAGCGTACAAAATAATGTTATGTGATATTGACAGATGAAAAAAATATATAAAAAGGTATATTTAAGGTATATTTACAAATAAACATATATTTAATAATATATATTTTGGAGTTTGAAACCGATTTATCCAAAGAAGTTTGATAAAAGAAAAGGCATGATTCTCATTTTTTTATGTTATTGTTCTATTTTTCAGATTTTTTCAAACGTATTTGCCACTAAGATACAAGGTGACACTGGGAGTGAAGAAGGATGAAAGGTTTTTAGAAGGAACCAAAATAGAATCCTAAGACTGAAAATGCAATGTACAAGCCTACAATTTCATTTCCCGTTCAAAGGACCTGGGGTGAAATGAAATCGGACGACAGGTGAGATTAAGTTTAAGGATTGAAGTAAAATAAATAATCATATATATATAATATATATATATATATATATATATATATATATATATACAATATATATAAACGCACGACCAAATTAACACAAAAAATCTCTCATTAAAAAAAAAAAGGTGAAGGACTAACACCATGAAAAATAAATTTAAATCAGGCAAAGGAGACAATGGAACACGTCTAACTGAAAATAGACTGAAGATTAGGTGACTATGAGTTCTAGGAAATTTTGAATTAAAGTATTTAAAAATACGGATTAATTGGTTTTTGACAACATAATATTATATATATATAGATATATATATATATAGATAGATGATAGATAGATAGATAGATAGATACAATTTTTATTTTTCTACAGATGTGCTATATTTATGGGATAATGGGATAAAAATATAAAGTACAAGATATAGATGAGACCTATATATAAAAATAACACGCTTAAATTCATATAGTTAGGCCATATATATTTAAACAAAATAGAAAAAATAACTGATCCAAGTATCCAACTTTTGGATAATAAGTGCGACATTACTGTAATTATTGAACAATATAGTTCATGCCACTTTGACAGAAAATTTACCAGTAAAAAAAATTCGTTCATCACCATATTTTGTACATGAACGCACAACTTTAAAAAATTTAAAATCAAACTCAGCGTTGCTACTACTGCGCTTAAAAAAACAATAACTCATTTTCAATAGCATTTTCGGATACAACAATACATATATTTTCGTTGTCCTCTTATTACTAAGAGAAAAAAACAAGAACAACATCTATTCTATACCTGAAGATGTCTGTAGGAACAGACGAAAGCTTGTAGTAAAAATAAGAACTAATACGGCAGAAATTTATAGAAACAAGGATCATTTCATTCATAACGGATTCGGAGGTTTTTGTATATTATTTGAATTGTTTGCGACGATGGATTTCTCGCCAATTAAATCATTAACCTTTGCATTTGTTTTTGTGTGAATAATTCATGAATTTATAAATTGATATACGTTTATATATATATATATATATATATATATATATATATATATATATATATATTTATTTAAAAAAAAAAATTATCAAAAAAAAAAATAAATAAATATGTTATAAATAAAAATTACAAAAAAATATATTTTGTTTCAAAAACCCCGGTGTCTTATCAAGTGATGATGTTAAATAAAATAAATGGTTTAAAAAAATATAAATTAATTAACGATAATTTTAAAAAATTTAAAAAAAACGTTGTTGCAAAAGCTAGAATGACAATACAAGTATGGGAAAAGAAAAAAAAATTTTTATTTATATATATATATATATATATATATATATATATATATATATATATATATACAAGTATATAATTGGTGTATACGGAATGAATTCCAATAACCAACTAAAAGCTTATTGAAAGGGATTCGTGATAGCCCATGCCTTAAAGACACCCCTAAAAAAAACCTGTTCTCACGAGTACAACTAACACATTGCGAAGGGCTTTATCTATGTAAAATATGTGAGATTGCTTTTGTTTGTTTGTTTGTTTTTATTGTTTTGTTTTGTTTTTTTGTGTGTTATAATAGTGATCAGTGGAAAATGTCATGAAGCCATTTCTGACCTTAGGTCTCTGGTTGGGACCCGGAAGGACATCTGCATACAACTGACATCAAAGGAAATAACAATAATAATAATAATAATATGATGATGATGATGATGTAAAAGAGAGGAAGAAGATAAAAAAGAAAACAGAAATAAAAAAAAATAGAAGAGGAGGAGGAAAAACGAGGAACGAAAAGAAGGAAAGATACGAAAAGGACGGAAAAAGAGATTAAAGAGAGTGAGAATTTTATTTTTTTTCATTTCCCCGATTAAAAACCTGTAACTAATTCTTCTGCCCCCCACCTAACATCTTTTGTGTGTGCGTCATTGTACACGAAAAGATATCGTGACTAAATTTTGGATGTTAATTTAAAAAACACGATTCTTTCAAAAATGGAATGCACAAAAAAGAAGCAGTGATTCTTTTTTTCACAGTAGCGTCGCTCAAAGAATCTTGAAAAAGCAAAAATGATTAAAATCTGAAAATTAATAAAAAAATTATAATCTTGAAGGGCAATAACATTTACTTATGAACCTATATCACCCCTGTTCACCCTAAATTTATATATATATATATATATATATATATATATATATATATATATATATATATATATATATATATTAAACATGCAAGAATATGCGGTATATTTCTTCCTGAAACATAAAGGAAAAGGGAATTAAGACGGAAAATCACACAAAAATATCTTTTAAAAATCTATGTCGCGTGATGGCTCCTCAAAATGAAGACGCGATATTTACAAAAAAATATTTAAAGTGACATAGCAAAAGAAATCAAGTAAAAATTATTTGATAATGATTTATGAATATCGCATATACTTAGGCCTTGGAGAATTTAAATGATCCTACATAATGAAAAAAATAAACATTTAAAAAAACATAAAATTACTATCGCTGGTTTTTAAAACAAACTTGCGCTAGAAATAATCTGTAAAAAGGATTAGAAAGAAGTAAATCTATATTTTTTAAGGTTTTATTGAAATTTTATTTACGTTTCCACATGTCCTCCATCATTAGCAATACAAAAGGTTATACGATTTTCCAGTTCACGGAAAACATTTGCCAACTGATTTACAGTAATGCCTGAAATCACATTAGTTATTTTAGTTATACTTAAAACAAGGTACATTAAACTTTATAAATTTTTTTTAACAGATTATTTCTATCGCAAATACAAATAAAGTTATAAATTTTTAAAAAAACATGAACTTGAACACCTTATATATATATATATATATATATATATATATATATATATATATATATATATATATATATATATATATTTGAACATTTTGGAAGATTAAGGTCTGATGATCCGCAGTCCTTTAAAAGGGCTGTGGTGAAATAAATTATGACATGGAACCTTAAAGTTGTCTGTTTTTATTTTAAATTATTTGCTCTGGATTTACATTGAGTTTTCTTAATTTTATCCTCCTTGGGTTTAATGAATACAGTTTCATTAAAACAAGCCAAACCAATATATACTGAGATAGATAGATAAATGATAGATAGATAGATAGAAAAAAAATATTACCAGCAATAAAATATTTTGTTTATATTAAATAAATAAAATTATGCGACATGCCGTAAAACACAACAAACCAAATCAAATCAAATCAATCAATTGCCTTATATATATATATATATATATATATATATATATGTATGTGTGTGTGTGTGTGTGTGTGTGTGTCTATATTAAAAAGAGAGAGACTTTATGGGCACCCTCTATGTCTATGTGGACTACCTCGACGTGATGTAATCGTTAAGCTTGTCATACTAGATCTGTTACAACAACAGTGGAGTGAGTTCGATCTTCACCGGTTGCACAATAATTTCGGCCTTGTGCCACATTTTCGGCCTTAATTGAAATTTATTGAACCATAAACATGAATTAACGTTTTTTCACTGACATCAAGAAATTTTCTCATTAAATAATTAGCATTTAAATTTCATAGTCTAATAAAAGGTTTAAAAGCTTAACCAATCATAAGATAGAAAAACTCTTTATGAAGTCGCCAAATAAACAAATTGTAGTTCAGTACGACGCGTTTATGTACGAAACAGCCCTTTAGGAAAAAAAATCAATAAATAAATTAAAAAATAAAATAAACTTCTTTAGACACTCCACGACGTATAATGGTGCCAACAGTTATCTTTCGCTGTGACTGACCAGCCGATGTGCGTACATGAATGCCATCATTCGCTTTGAAATGGACACGCCGAACGTAATCATCGGCTTGCCATCTTTGCTGTAAGATGACTGATATGTGGATTTTTTATTTTTATAAACATTTATCAAGATGGTCAATAGAGTGACCATCTTGATAAAATAACATATAAGAGTTATTTCCATATTAATTGATAAGTGGCACAAGAGTTACTTTCCATAGTAATTAATTTTGCGATTGAACATGCTTAGAAAGATTCATAAATTTCAAGATTGGTTATTCCTAAATTTTCGCTTGAGGATGAAACAGGGCTTGTTTTTAAAAAATAATTATCAGCCCTTTAGGTTTATATCTAATTTATATATACTTTATACCATATAATATATATATATATATATATATATATATATAAACAGTATTCCTCGCTTGAAAAATCTCGGATGACTCAACTTGTAAATATCTGACGGGCAAATTGGTACCCGAGGAAAACATTGGAAGTGAAAAAAGAAAGAACTAAACACATCGGAACAAGGCGAAAAATTCGTCAAGTGTCTTAAGTCCTTAGTCCAAAGAAAAACAAACAAGCGAGAATAAAGACAACGAAAGCGTAGAGGGCTTAATAGGCTAAGTAGAGCGTTAAATTAGAATATTTCCTAACGAACTAGGCAAACCTACCTAGGTTTTTTTAAACGGTTCTTCAGGATAAACTGGATGATCCCAAAAGATCGATTATATATATATATATATATATATATATATATATATATATATATATATATATATATATATATATATAAAACATTTAAACATATGATTTTATACAAAGAATAATCACACATAGAATTAATCAGAAGTATCAATGCGATTATTGGCGACATCCATCGCTAGAAAATAAAAAAAAAATTCCTATAAAAAAAAATTACTACTATGACATTACACTATATTATTGAACTATATATATTAGTTCATGACATAAAAACTGAATACACTTGTAAAAATAGAATACGTGGATTTAACACATCACAAGAAATATTTAAATAAAATTCTCACTTAAAAATTTTGAAAAACTTAGCGTTGCGTCTTTGCACGTTCCGATATCTTACAACCGTCAATAATAGCAGATATTCAAAAAACATCTTTCGGTCGACATACAGGTATATCGTCTCAAGTTTTTGATTTTATAAGGAAAAAAAACACATGCCTGATGATGGATGGAAGACTGTCCGTAAGTACTAGCATTTTAACATCAAATAAACTGAAAAACTACAGACAACAAGTTTTTCTTCAAGGATCAAAACTCGCACTATGGATGAACAGGATTTTAATGCATATATTATGTTTTCTAGCGATGGATGTCGCCAATAATCGCATTGATACTTCTGATTAATTCTATGTGTGATTATTCTTTGTATATATATATATATATATATATATATATATATATATATATATATATATATATACTTCGGCATGGTCTCAAAACAATTTTCAATGTCGAAATTTTTCATAACTGTCCGAAATTTATTTTATTCTCTTTTTCTAGCAGCTAATTTAAGACACTCTCGGTCATTATCAAGAACCATGTGCTGTTGGTGTTGTAGGCAAGATACTGTTGGCTACATGCTGTGATGTTTTAGTCAGTCCAAATTGACATCATGTGTAAAGGCTAAAAGGAGCATGGCTGAACGCGAAATTAATGCTTATTAAATACTTGATACACATTTCAAAATATGTTTTGTTTATTTCCTTACATTGGCTGCTGTCGTGTACTTTGGTATGAACCCTTAATATGTATCGTTTTCTTATCTTAGAACCTCTTTTTAATAAAATGTTTTGAAGAATAAGAGGAATACACAAAAACGGAAATTATGATTCAATGTTATATTTAAATTTTGTTTATTTACTTCCCAAAGCCTGAGGAAAATATGTTATTTCTCCTAAAGTTTCTTGTATATTTCTAGAATCGAGAAAGATCTGTATCCAAAAGTACTTTTCAGATTTTGCTTTGACCGGTAGGTTCTTTTTAGCCGAGTAGTCAAAAGCACGTCAGATCCAATAACGGTTTTCCCTAGGGCAACGCATCCACGAATCGTGCCGAAGAACACATATTTTTCTGATAAGATTTCTCAAATATTCTGTCCAGTAAATGGAAATAAATATACTGTTTAATAAATAAACAGATCATCTACTCAGATATGGATTAGTGTTTAAAAAAAGCTTTTAACCTAATTCTTAAAAAAGAAACCGCTTAATCATCAGATTTGATCATTTTATCTGACGTTGGCTTGTTTATTTTGTAATGGAATTACGTAAATACCTCCTTTTATGAATACAAATTAGATAAATACCTCACGTTTTAGATTAAAATAACACAATAGTTTGAGGAATTAATTACTGCAGGTCGTAAGTGGGTTGTTTGGTAGAGTGCATCGTCGTTTACGATAGGTCGCAAATGCCTCGGTAGATATGATACTATAGTAGCACCCAAAATTCATTATGGAATATGTGGAGGACCATAGTTATCTACGCCCTCAAGGAACAGGACGGATAAAAAAAGAACCAATCCAACCAAAAATGAAGACATATAGATTAGTTTCGACTTAATGTTATGGTGAGACGACATTTTTAGACGACTGTTCACATGCAATTCATTAAACGCCTAAGCAACATTCAGTGCATTCTTCAAGTGTCATTTAAAATTACAATAGCGAATATGTTGCTGGCGTTATATCATGACTTAAACTGAAAGGTTAATTATTTTAAGCAATTCACCCCAAGTATAGCGGGGGTGCCACTAGCAGGCAAGGGGTTACAGAGGATTGGGAACAAGAGTAAAGACACGTGTTTGATAAAAGGATACAGAGAAGGATGGAGAACAAACTCAGGGTGTCAGATGTCGATTGACATTACACTTGAATATTTGAAGATTACAGTCAACGGAGGAGCAAGTAAGAGGAAAGGAGTTCCACAGACGGGACGTGCGGGAGAATAAGCTGTTTGAAAAGAACATTACAAGGTTACATTTAACTGTTTTGACAGTGATAATATATTTAAAATTCGACTTTT